GAGGAGAATGGAGGAGAAGGGATTGCGGCGTGGCCATCCCCCCTGGGGGATGATTTCTTGCTTTCTGTCTCTCTGTCTCTGTCTGTCTGGCGAACACATGCGCCCTATAGTGAAAAACCTCTTAAAAAAAAAAAAAGAAAATTAATTTGCTTAGGGTTTAGGGTTTAGGGGTTAGAGGTTAGGGTATAAAAACAATTAAGAAAATTAATTCGCTTGATTGTCTGAAATGGTTAGAATGGGAAGCCCAGTTTGCAATTTGTCATGAGGTAATAGCAGTGGAAAGGGTGGAAACAAATTCAAGATGGAGCGAAGGATTTGGCGACCGACTAGAATAGGTGCAAAGGCAAGGGCGGGCCTCATTAGGGAGGTGAATCAGAGCCAGCGCCAGGACCTCAGCCTAGTGACTGGGAGGACCGTGATTGCCCAAATGGAAGCTGAAAGTCAGGAGAAGCCGGTCTCAAGGGGAAGGTGAAAAGTCTGGTTCTAGACCTGTTGACTGGTGAGACATTCAAATGGAATCATCTAGATACACCTACAAAATACAGACTGGAAGCTGGGGCAAGGTTAGGACTCAAGTAATACAGATTTGGGGATCATTCCCACACAGTTACTGAGACCCCAAAGGGAAGAAGGAGGAGAGTGAAAAGATGGCAGATGAGGATAGATCTATATGTAGGAGGAGAGAAGAATTAATCAAGGCATAAAACTCATGGTAACCTTTAAGAAATAGATGAAGAATATATAGAAATAGTCTTTCGGCAATGGTCATTGGCATATTTACTTTATTTAAATATCACTGGAAATAGGGACCTGCAGATGGCATAATGGATACGTCTCTGGACTCCCATGTAGTCAACTGCAATTCGAGTCCCGGACCTGGTGACTTAAACTCACACCGGGCGCGTGTGCATGTGTGCCCAAGATCCCAAGAGGAGAACGGAGAAGGGATGGAGGCATGGCCATCCTCCCTGAGGGGTGATTTCTTGCTTTCTGTCTCTCTGTGTGTGTCTTTCTGGCGTATGCACGTGCCCTATAGCAAAAACCTCTCCAAAAAAAAAAAAAAAGAAAAAAAAAGGAAGAAAAAAATATTACTGGAAATGAACTGAAGATTACGTTTAAGGAAATGGGGATGGTAACCTGAAATTTGCTCAATAAAGGATGTGTGAGTCTAGGTCCTGGAGAGTTTTAGAAGGTGGTGGCAAAATCCTTTTTTGTCTTGGATGGTTTAAGTGAAGCCCAACTAGAAGGTGGGCATTAGATATCTGAATCCACTCATTTGTTAAATCATTCAACAAACACATATTGAGCACTTGATATATAGAGGGACTGTTCTGGGCATGTGGGATAACCGGTGAATAGAAAGTAGACCCCAAAATTCCCTTCCCTTGTAGCACTCACATGATAGTGAGGAAAGAGCCAGTCAACACATAAATAAATTATATAGTACGTTAGTAGAAAATATGTGCAATAGGACGAGTTAAACGAATAGAACAGAGTAAATGTGAGGAGGAAGTGGAGTTGGAAAGGCTCATTTTAAAAAGGGTGGCCAGAGTCAGTCTCATTGAGATTACATTTGAGCAGAGACTTGAAGCAGGTGAAGGAGTTAACCATAAGTATATCCAGGGAGAGAGACAGCCGGAAGGGACGGTTGTACAAAGGCCCGATGCTGGGAGCATGCCTGGCAGGTTTGAGGAACAGGGAGGCCAGTGTCGCTGGAGCAGAGTAGCAGGGGGTACGAGGGTAATAGGAGATGAGGTCTAATAAATACTAGGAGAGGAGAGGCGGATCCTAGAGGGCCTTGTAGAAACCTAATACCACACCCTGCCTACAGTAGGTGTGCAAGAAATGTTTGGTGAGTCATCTTTTGCAGTTCTGGATTGTCATCAAATAGCGTTTATCTCTTTGTTTATAGTGATGTGTGCCTTCTTTATTCCAGGAGCTTCTTGATAGTTCTTTTTTTTTTTTTAAGAATTATTTTATTTAACTTTATTGATTTGTTTTTATTTGACCAGAGAGGGACAGAGAAAGAGAGAAAGAGAAAACAAGAAAGCAAGCCACCAGGTCCAGGATTCAAACCGCATTCAGTTATGTGGGGAGTTCAACACCCTTGACAACCAAACCACCTGCTGGCCCCAACTTCTCAAAAGTTTTTCTATATAAGAAGTATGTACTTTGGGCAGTCAAACCCTTGTGGACATTAGAAACCCAAGTGAACTCTGTAGGGGCCAGCCCCATAGCCTGGTGGTTAAGGGAGCCAGATCTACATGGCTGACAATGGCAGCTTGAAAAAAATGCTGGACAGGTGTGCACGCAAGCCTAGGATCCTGACAGAGATAGAGGAATGGAGGAAGGGGGTTGAGGTATGACCAGGCCCCATTGGGAGATGCTTTTTCTCTTGCCCTTTGACTCTCTAGCATTAAAAAAAAAAAAAACAAAACAAAAAAAAAAAAAAACAGCGCTGTATTCTTGGCACCGGAAGCAGGAAACAAATGTCAAACACTGTGGCTGCTGAAGAACTGCTGAGCATTTGTAAAAGCTTGCTATGGTCGGGATAGCGCTCAGTCTGTCGTAATCACCGGCTGCATCTGGTTGAAACACTCCTACCATGGGATATAGATCCGTATTCTTTCAGCCTAAAAGGAGACGCTTCAATGACAAATGTCTAGTCTAGGTCGCCCCTTTATTTCCTGGATATAGCAGTGGTGACTTACGACAGATCTCAAGTGGTTATGGGTTTTAATGCCCTAATTGGCCTACAGGATCTCAAAGTTTGGATGCTTTTAATATGGACTGGTTGAGGGACCAGCAGGTGGCATGGTGGTTAAGGTGCTGGATACTCCCACATGGCTGACCATGATTTGAGTCCTGGACCTGGTATCTTGCTTTCTCACTTCCCCTCTTGCTCCCTCTCTGTGTCTCTCTCTGTCAAATTAAGAATAAATGAATGAATAAGTAAATAATTTTTAAAAATATGGACTGGTTGAATGAAAGAATGTATAGCGTTTTTTAATTTTCTTTTTTCATGGCCCATTTTCCCATTTCCCACAGGCCCCCAAATGCATGCTGTCCAAGAACTTTAACCACAGATCTATCAGCCTCACCAAAGAGGAAGGAGGTAGAAAGAAGAGATAGGGACCTCCTTAACAGGCTTTTAGGGGGCTGAAGTGAAAAGCCACTGGGAGCGGCAGAGTACGTGAGTTCTTGGCTCTTCCTGTCTTGTAAAATGAAACAGGCAGATCGTGGAGCTCAAGGTTAACTTAGTTTTGGGCTTAAACGCAGACCCTTAATTAGGCTCTCTGGGTCTGTTTTAACACCATGTTAAGGAGTCCGAAGTTGTGAAGTGGAGCCTAGGCTGGAAATAAATGTCCCCTATGCTGAACTCTGCTAGCTCCTGCCAACTGCTAGCAGGAGAATGACCTGGAGAGAAAATACGGGCTTGTCAGGAAAGTCATAATGTACTTCTCTATGCAAAAATGCGTCCTGACTTTTCCAGCAAGTGAGAAAATGTTTCAAAACAAAGACTGCTTAACACATCCCCAAACACACATCCTACAAAGTGGGTCAGTTGAGTCATATTCACATATGAAGAAGACATACTTACAGATTTCTTAGCCATGAAAAGGAATATATATATATAGTTTATATATAGTTTGCTGTAGGGCATGTGTGCTTGCTAGAGAGAAAGAGAAGGAAATCCCTCTCCTCCCCTCCATTCTCCTCTTGGGATTTTGGGCATGCATGCATTGGCATCTGGCATGTTTTTTGAGCTGCTGGGCTTGGGACTCGAGCTGTGTGGTTTGCATGTGGGATCCAGCCACCTTAACCACCACGCCACCAGCTGACCCAGTTACAGGTTTATATCCATAGAACCAGACTAGAAATTCTCAATCCTGTTTCACCCCTGGATGCTCTTTACTGTTATGACTTCTGTTGTTGTTGTTGTTGTTTCCCAAAAGAGGATAGTGAAGGTGGGGAGGATGATTATCTTTGAGCTACTCCACTGCTCTGTGTCCTAGCACACCCACCCCTCACCAAAGTTGGAAAAACTACGTACTGTAGTTTATACTCGAATCTCCTGTCACGAAATGCAGGAGGCTTCTACCTTCATCGCTCCCACTTTCTTTCCTCTTTCTTTAGGCGGAGGGTGGTGGGCGCTAACTTTAAGCTCCGTTAGACCACTGTTTAGGTGTGGGCAGTGCCTGGCCCATGCCAGGAGACGAATGAAAGGGGACATCATTCTATAGATTTGCAGTGTAGAAAATTGACTTATTGAGCCGCGACATCCAGTTCTGGGTCTGGCATTGGGGCTAGCACGATTCCCAATTCTGACTGAAGGGTCTTATATCCAGATCCCCACGTCCTGGTTCCAGTGTTGAGACGCAGTAAATGAGCTTTGAGAGGGCAGCTTTTGAAACATGAATGGGATCTTAGTAACCATTTGATCCATGCCCAGAGTAACGATGGAAGCTGACCAAGAGCAGACAGAGCTGAGGCTGGAATTAGCCCTCCTCACTCAGCACATTTCTTGGTATGTCAGACCATCTTGCCAGCGACCAGCACTTCCAGGCAAAGTCAAGTTCTGTGACACTGAAGTCCTCAAAGACCTCGAAGGAGAAGATACATGGCATACATGCCGTGACACTTCCCTCCAATGAGGCCGAGGGAAAAATCACTAGTGATCAACACACTTTTCCCGGGGAGTCCGGGCAGTACCTTGGGCAGTCCGGACCAGCCAATCAGAATTACCGCTCAAGATGAAACCTGTCATCCCTTGTCTAGAGGAAAGGGCTTTGTGAGTCAGTGAGCTGGGGTCTTGACCTGTCTTCTCAAGATGAGCTTAACCCCAGCAGGAACCTCACACCTTTGAATGCTCGTCACTGTCCCCACAGGCCCAAAGGAACTGGACCTCATTTCTGCAAGCAGGTGTTCCATAGCACGGGTCTGCCAGACAGGGCAGGTGCAGGATTAGTCATGACTCCAAGCCAGGCAAGGTGATTAAGAAAAGCTAAATTTATATTAAATTATCATAAAGTCCTAAAATACTGAACATAGTGGTTAAATAACTCCAGAAAGTCCAATCTCTCCAGTGAGTGACGTTAAAACCATTACACTCGAGCGCGGGAGAATCACTTCCATTAGTTTAGGACAGAGAGATTTTGCTTTTTACAGAGTAAATCAGTGCTCAAATAGATATTTCCTCAAATATGTCCTTTCTACATTCTGAACAGCCCAAGTGCCATAAGATCCTTCCCCCTTTCCAAGCAAAGAAATGCACTTTTCTACTCTCTCCCTCTCCCCAACCGTGAGTCTAAGGACCCAAAGTGCTCCTTCTTTTACTCCCTTACCGAGTGCGAATTGTCCTTCTTCCCTCCCAGGAGTGGCACCTTGCTTCCCCACCCCGTGCACTGGAAAAGCCTTCTTGGCCTGGCCTGGCTGCAATGCGTAGGCCAGACCTGAGGCTGGCTACTGAGAACAGGACTAAGGGCTTGGTCTCCGTCTCTAGCAATCTTACAACTGACCAGAAAAGCATGGATCTCACCATGTCACCGACCTGTTGGGCAGCTGATTTTTCAATACCAATAACCAAGGGAGATGTTGCAAATCAGGAAACTTCCCCTAAGCAGCTCTCCATTCTCAGCCCCTGACACCCTCTCCTGCTGCTTCTAATTCCTGGGGGGAGAAATCTGGGGCTGCCCTGGGTGGGGAGGGCTTCCTCCATGGTTTGTTCTACCTTCCTACCCCTTGCTCACCGTCTGATCTTCCCTCAGCCTTCCTCACCACAGGACTTTGGAGATTGCTGGTGCCACCAGGCTAGGTCAGAAAAAGCAAGTTAGGCCAAAACAGAAACATAAACGAAACATGACAAGCAAGGGAGAAGTTTTAGAGCAGAAGAAAGCCTCAACTCCCCTGACATTAGCCCAAGACACATGCTGTGGGAATGCGTGACAGCCAAGTGATGGCAGCTTGGCGTGGCAATGAGTCCCTTATCTGAGAAGAGAGGTGGAATGGGACTTCACCACCCATGGCTGCAGGCTCTCTGTCCACCAACTGAGATCCCTGAGCACCTGAGAAAGCTCACAGGAGGTCGAACCTCAGAGATCTCTGTAGGCCTCAGGTGCCCCAAGTCTCTCAGCCTCCTGCTCTTCCTGACCATTTGTGAAAACTTCTGGTGCTTCTTTGAAAGATGGTCTCAGGACCTCTTCCCTTAGAGTCCCAGAGCATGAAGGACTGAATGGTTGTCTGTCACAGTGCAGGCGGCATGCTGTCTGGCCTAGGCAGAGCTCCTTGGACATTGTAGAGACTCGGCCCCCAAGATCTAACCTTCACTCAAGCCACTGGCTCATAATCTGGTTATTCAGAATGAAAGACTCAGGAAAAGTACTGTCCAGTGGTGGCACCAGGAGGAAGTTCCTACTAGCCATGGCCATGTGATAGGGGCCTCCAGTCACGTGAAGGTAAGAATAGCTTTAGACAATCTAGCAGGGGGAAGAAGAGCTTTAGCCATACCCTCATCTCAGCTGTGTCTGCAATTCAAAAAGTAGAGACTTTTAGGGTGAAAATAACATCCACTGCCAGCAATGGACAGGACACCCAGCCCAACCACCCCCAGAAGCATTTTCAAATTGCCAACACAAGGCTGGAGGTCTCCCAGATGCCCATACCAGCTGGGCCAACTCTTCTTCTCTCAGCCTCCATCCTTCATCCCTCTCTTTACCCACAACCCCCTGCCCCAGCCCCTGATGGGCGAGTTCTCTCCAAGCAGCAGTCATGCCAGCGTGGTGGGGAGAGTACAGTCTCGGGTCATCAGCTGCCGCAGTGCTGTGGACAGGCAGGCACCAAGGGTACGGGGAAGGGGAGGAGGGGCTGTGCACTGAAAAGGAATCAGTACTGAGCCCAGTTTCAGGGGGCCCCACGGAGTGCAAGAGGTGAGGTTCATGGTAAAATCCAGGTCAAAATTCTTGAGATGTGCCATCACTTTTTGTGCCCAAGTAGTTGTGGACTGGGGTGGAAAAGAGCTCCCTTGGAGGGCTCGGGAGCAGTTATGGGGTGAGTGGAGGAGGAGGAGGAACACACAGGAAGGGGGCCTGCTGTATAAGCGAGCACACGGACTATAAGTCCATAAAGAAGGAACAGGCAGACAGGAGAGAACGTGGGCATTTAGACCTGGCTCTCCGAGGAGAGCTTGCGTTCGTGTTTCCAGCCCGTGTCAGGCAGAGAGCCCCGTCTTTCTGGAGTGGCTGCAGTATGGACGCTGCTACACTCAGATTGCTCTTCCTGTAACAGCTGCTCTGTCTCCGTGTCATCGAGGGAGCCAGAGCTGGCCTGGATGGAGACCGTGTCTGTCTTCATGCACACATGATCCCGAAGAAGGCCCCCTCGTGAGCTGCGCAGTTGCTTGAGGTCATCCCACTCAGCTTCGTCCCCAGACAGGAGACAGATCCCCTCCACAATCTTGATCTTCTCCTTGGTGTAGTTATGGTCAGGCCCACCCTAGGGTGGAGAGCAGGGAGACACGGTCAGTCTGTGAAGGAGCTCTGTGAAGGATCCCACAGTGAGCTGAAGAAAGTGGAGAGCAGGGAGACACGGTCAGTCAGTGGGCTCTCTGTGAAGGATCCCACAGTGAGCTGAAGAAGGAAGTGGGTGGCCTGACCGTGGGCGAGAAGGGCATAAAATCACACATATGAGTGGGGTGAGGGGCAGATATATGAGGCCTCACAGCAGAGCAACTATGAAGGTATTGATGAAATATACAAAAAAGTGGAATTAAAATATGAGTATTTCAGTGTAAAAAATTGAAATCCATGAATACTTTTTTCTTAATAGTATTTTTTCTTAATATGTTTTTGTCGCAGGGTGCATGAGCTTGCTGGAAACAGACAGAGACAGAGGGAAAGTGAGAAATCACCTCCTGGCAGGATGGCCACACCACAGTCCCATCTCCTCCACTCCCCTCTCAGGATTGCTGGCACACACACGCATGCACACAGCATGTTTTTCAAGCCACCAGGTCTGGGTCTCAAACCGAAGAATTGGCCGTGTGGGATCTAGCCCTTTAACTAGCCCGCCACCTGCTGGCCCTCCATGAATTTTTTGAAGACCTCTTACATGAGGATTATTACTGTGGTCATTGGGGAAGAGGGAAAAATCCTGGATCAGCTACTCACTGGCTATGTCACTTTGGACGAATGTTCACATCTCTGAAACTCAGTCTCTATCTGCAGTGTGGAAGGAATACTACTATCCCCACCTCATAACCAGTGCTGTCAGGTTTAGTAAGGGAGACGTGGAATAATACAATTACTAGGACGCTTGACACAAGACACACTACAGCAGGCTAGCTACTGTTACACTGTTATTATGGTTTATTAATAGGATAGCATGCTGATATAAAAAAATCAAAAGCAATTATATGTACGTTTGTTCAGGATTTCAACTACTTCATATGCTATTACGTTATCTCTTTCTGTTTTTCTTTGTTTGTTTTTTTTTTTTTTTTTTATATGCTATTACGTTATCTCTTTCTGTTTTTTGTTTGTTTGTTTGTTTTAAGTTTCTTTCTTTCTTCTATGAGCATGCAAGAAAGAGGGAGAGAGACAGGTATCCTCAATAGGGTTTTCAAGCCACAACCCATTCCTGGCCTCAGCCGGCCCCAGATCATGGGTGCAAGTGTGCCTACTGTGTCCAAGGTGGACTCCGGATCCAAGCCTGCAACCCTCCTAGGCGGGTCAGCCTTGCGGAGTGTGGTATCACTACCAAGCCACCAACCAGCCCCCAGGAGCTCTTTTTTCTAATTTTGTGAAGGTGAAAACTTAGGAGGGCTCTTAAAAAAATGAATTAATTTTATAAAAAAGATAGGCATGCTCCAGAAAATCCTCTCATTGGGGTTGTAAATGGCATAAGCAGTAGGTCTGCTCAGCAATGCTGGAGCCACATGGCAGACAGCGGGCCCGATCTCTGGTCAACCTTAAATGCTGAGAGACGCAGGTGTCCATGATCCTGGCTGCTGGGAATGCTGCTGGGGAGAGGACTGGAGTATGAGGAGACCCCGCTGAAGTGCTCGATTCTCTCTGTCTCTCCCTCCTCTTCTTCCCTTTCTCCCTCATGAAACAAATAAAATAACCTTCAAATGTCAACGTAGTAGGCCCATAACCTGTGGCTGTTTTGGAGAGGTTACTCTGGCTCTGCTCCCATGAGCCCTGGGGCCATTCCAAGAGCAGCCTTTGAGTTCTGCTTAGGCTTCTCCCTCTGCGGACTCTTTTTTTTCCCCTTCTTTTTTTTGGAGAGGTTTTTTCGCTATAGGGCGCGTGCGCTCACCCGACAGAGAGAGACATAGAGACAGAAAGTGAGAAATCATCCCCCATGGGGGATGGTCACGCCGCAATCCCTTCTCCTCCATTCTCCTCTCGGGATCTTGGGCACGAACGCACATGTGCCCGACGTGAGTTTTAAGCCACCGGGTCGGGGACGTGAACCGCAGTCGACTATGTGGGAGTCCAACGACATAGCCATTATGCTAACTGCTGGTTCCCTGCGGACTCTTCAAAAGGTGGCGTCACCCCTGTTTCTGGGGGATAACAAGCAGCATCTCCAGAAGAAAATGGGCCCTAGCTTGGGTTCTGTCCTGCGACAGTGTTCCTACTGGGTCCTGCTCTGTTTTAATAATAATGTGATTCCACAGATATGTTCTGAGCCTGTACATTAACCAGGACCCAGCATTAGTGCTTTGGTGTTTACACAATATAAAATATAGTCCCTGCCTTCTGGAAGTGACAACTCTTTCAGTCATGCAGAGACATACAGAAGGTCCTCGCTTAACGACCCACTTGTTTAACGACCACTCCGACTTGCAACCAGTTCTCCAGCAAGGGCAACCCCCTTCTCAGTCTTTGTCTCGTTCCAACCAATTGGCTAGTCCTCACTACACGAAAAGCATTCGCAATCACGCAAGGCTACATATTTCCTTTGTGAGTTTGTACTTTATTGTGTGCCCATAGTGGTATTCAGAATAAATAAAACCAATTACACCCCATTTATATTGTGTTGTAGTGTGTCTTGTCACTTCCTGGCACTTATCTAAGGTATGGTTCATTATTTTTAATTTTAAAAAATAATAATTGTATTTAACTTATTTATTTATTTATTTAAATTTATCAGAGAGGGACAGAGAGAGAGAAAGAGAGAGAGCATGAGAGAAAAAGTGAGAAAGCAAGACAGTAGGCCCGGACTCAAACCATGGTCAGCCATGTGAAAGTCCAGCGACCTTAACCATCATGCCACCACCAGCCAGCCCCAATTTTAAAAAAATGTTTTTTTGTTCACTATAGACTTGCTTAAGAGAAACCGGGAGAGAAGGAAAGTGAGAAATCACCCCGAGAGGATGGCCACGCTGCAATCCCTTCTTTTTTTTTTAAATAATTTATTTAACTTTATTTATTTATTTGTTTATTTGGAGAGGTTTTTGCTATAGTGTGCGTGCGCTCACCAGACAGAAAGAAAGAGAAAAAGAGAGACAGAAAGTGAGAAATCACCCCCCGTGGGGATGGCCACGCCTCAATCCCTTCTCCATTCTCCTCTCAGGATCTTGGGCACGCACGCACACGTGCCCGGTGTGAGTTTTAAACCACCGGGTCCAGGACTTAAACCGCGGTCAACTACATGGGAGTCCAGTGACATAGCCATTACTCTAACTGCTAGTCCCTATTTATTTATTTATTTTAATTTGACCAGAAAGGGACAAAGTGTGAGAGAGAGAGAAAGACGGAGAGAGAAAGTGAGAAAGCAAGCCGCCAGATCCGGGACTCTAACCGGGGTTGGCCATGTGGGAATCTAGCACCCTCACCACCATGCCACCTGCTGGCCCCTGCATTCCCTTTTTCCATTGTCCTCTCAGTATTTTGGGCATACATGCACATGTGCCTGGTGTGTTTTTCAAGCCACCAGGTCTAGAACTCAAACTGTGCTGTTGGCCACGTGGGATCCAATGCCTTAACCTCCATACCACCTGCTGGCCCTTTAATGTACTTTTTTTGTTGTTGTTTGTTTTGGAGAGGTTTTCACTATAGGCCACGTGCGCTGGCCAGAGAGAGACAGAGACAGAAAGCGAGAAATCCCCCCCCAGGGGGGATGGGCACGCCGCAATCCCTTCTCCTCCATTCTCCTCTCGGGATCTTGGGCACGCACGCACACGCACCCGGTGTGAGTTTTAAGCCACCAGGTCCGGGACACGAATGCGGTTGACTACGTGGGAGTCCAGCAACATAGCCATTATGCTAACTGCTGGTTCCTGTAATGTACATTTTTTTGTATGGATAGAATGACATTATTCTAGTGTGGTGTACATTATATCTATTGAAAAATACATACCCTATGGCACCACAACACATAAGACACCTGCCTTTAAGCTCCTCGCTTATTGGCCAATTCACTTAAGGATCTAGCCATAGGAACTAGCTCAGTCGTTAAGTGAGGAGTGTCCCTGGAGAACACACAGCACACGCACGGGCACAGGCACCCATTCACCCAGCATACCCTCCAGGTGAAATTAGTGTCAGAAAAGACGCAGTCCACACAGAGTCTTATCCTGAAAACACACTGGGTAAGTCAGGGAGGGGAGGGCACATGGCAGTAGTAGTTTGGGGGATACCACTCCCTGTACACACACAACAGGTACCTGGAATCGGGAGGAAATCAGAAGAGAAAGGGCGAAAGACTATCAGAGGGATGAAAGAGCTGCTGAGGAAGAAGCAGACATCAGAGAAAGGGGTCACATGGTTTTCGTTTCAACCTGTGACCCCCTACTGTGGTTTTTTTCTGGACCACAGACATTCCAGGAACCCAAGAATCTTCAGGAGTCTTTATGTCAAAGATATTCTTCGGGAAGGGGTTTCCCATTTCTACCATTGCAGATTCTGTTTTGACTGTGGTGGAAGCTTTTTTTAATACGGGAATCCATAGAGGCAGAAAGCACGGGAATGTTACGTAAAACACGTTCACTGTGCATGAGAGCTCTGCAGGTGCGAGGGCAGGTTTTGGCCGTGCTAGACAAAGCCAGCCATGTACAAATAGCTTCTTTGTAAGGAATAGCTTCTGGTGAAAAATTACAGGATTTTAGGAAAAAACAAGGGTTCTATCAGACTAGGAAGACTGAAAATCCCAGGCTATAGAGCCCTTGTAGAAATGGGACTATTTTTCATTGCCTAAACATTCAGCAATTTTCCGCTGAAGTGAAGTTAAAATGAAGGAATTAAAAAATCAGTCAATCAATCAAAGGCCACACTCCCAGGCGTAGGTGCCACCAGCTTGGGTCAGAGGTTAGAAAAGGGAGCATCCAGGAGCTCTTATGTTTCGGGGTGTTCCCAATGAGGGGCACAGCCTCATTGAAGGGGAATGATGATTCCGGGAGAGAAAGAACTTATGAGCCCGGAAAAATACCTCCTGGCAGAGGTGCGCACTCACTGCTTTCAGATCTAAATGTTCCAGCACCTGTTTTCTAAACTGCTCTTACCAGGGTCCCTCAGCCAGTCCCTCAGAGATCCTAGATCTCCCCGGAAACTCGGGTTACATTCAGTTCTTCTGTTCACTATGACTTCCAGGGAGGTAGGTGGGACTAACCAGCAGCCTGTGCTGATCTATGCGGGAACAAGGAGAACGATCCCTCCCACCTCTCCCCCACAATAGAAATGTCCATTTTTACCTCTTTCTTATAGCACAGCTGATTGTACATGGCTGGTTTCGGGACTGCTTCGATTTTCACTTCCTGAGTAGAAGTGCGGTAGGAGGGGTTGCTGTAGGTCAGGTTCCCCATTCCAGGATCGGTGAACTTGGATTTTTTGTGTCTTTCGGACAGAAGGTGATAAGAAATTAGTTCAAATTGGTTTGTGGTCCCTCCCTGGGGGGCAGGGGCAGCCTCCAAGATGGCCCCAGTGACCCTCCTGGTACTCACACCCTTCCGAGTAACCTCACTTTGAGTGTAGGCTGGGCCTGGTAACTTGCTGCTAATTAAAAGAATATGCTGGGGCATATAGGCTGGCAGGTGGCATGGTGCTTAAGGGTGCTGGATTCCTACATGGCCCACTGTGGTTTGAGTCCCAGACCTGGTGGTTTGCTCTCTCTCTCTCTCTCAGACTCTGTCCCTCTGTGGTCAAATTGAAATAATTAAATAATTAAAGTTAAATAAAATAATTCTTAAAAAAAAAAAAAAGAATATGCAAAAAGTGATGGACACTCAGGGCCAGCAGGTGGCATGGTGGTTGAGGTGCTGGGTTCCTACATGGCTGGCTGTGGTTCCAGACCTGGCAGCTGGCTTTCTTACTTTCTCTCTCGCTCTGTCTCTCTCTGGTGGGCACATAGGCCCTATGGCAATTTTAAAAAATAATAATAAAATAGTAGTGAATAAGGTTAAATAATTCTTTTGTTTGTTAAAAATTTTTAAAGAGATTTTGGCCTTAGGGTGCACGTACTCGCCAGAAAGAGAGAGAATAATTCTTTTGTTTGTTAAATTTTTTTAAAGAGATTTTGGCCTTAGGGTGTACACACTCGCCAGAGAGAGAGACAGAGACAGTGAGAGGGAAAGTGAGAAATCACCCCCCAGGAGGGATAGCCATGCCACAATCCCTTCTTCTCTACCCTTCTCCAGGAATCTTGGGCACACACGCACATGCACCTGGTCTGAGTTTCAAGCCACCAGGTTGGGACGCAAACTGTAGTCAGCCCTGCGGGAATTCAGCACTGTAAGTGCTATGCCATCTACAGACCCCAATAAATAATTCTTTTAAAAAAGAAGAAAAGAAAGAAAGTAGTAGAAAGAAGAAAGAAGAAGAGGGAGAAGAAGAGGGAGAAGAAGAAGAGGGAGAAGCATGGTTAAGGTGTGGAGGAGGAAGGAGAAGAAGAAAGTGATGGGCATTAGCTTAGGTTACTTAGGAGAGAAACTGCTTTTCTCCTAGGGTGCCCTCCCTCCCTGCCTCCCTTTTGCCCTTGCTTTGAAGCAAGCTGCCATGTTGTAAGCTGCCCCATGAAAGGGCCCAGGAGACAAGGATGTGATGAGCGGGGAGCTGAATCCTGCCCACAGTGACATGAGTGTGCTTGGAAGGGAGTCCTTCCCCAGTCAAGCCTTGGGATGAGGCTCCAGCTGATACCTGCATTGCAGCCCGTGAGCCACCATGAGGCAGAGACCTTGGCTAAGCAGCACCCAGATTTCTGACCCACAGAAACTGGGAGATAATAAATGGTTGTCATTTTAAGATACTATATTTTAGGGCAATTTGTTATACAGTAACTGATAACTAACATACTAAGCTCTAGAGTCAAGATAGATCTGTTTGAGTCTACCTCTGTGACTTACTAGCCGGGATCTTGGTAGACGGAATCTAAACTTTCTGAGTCTCAGATTCTCATCCGCAATGTGAGGAATAACAATACTTGTGTTGCAAGACTACATTGACACCTACCCATTAAATGGTAACTGTTGTCATTGTTATTATCATTACATTATTAGCAGGAACAGCAGCAAAACCCAGATATTTTTTGCTGTAAGCTGTGTTTAAAATACTTGGAGGAGGGACCAGCAGGTGGTGTGATGGTTAAGGTGTTGGACACTCCCACATGGTCGACCATGGTTCAAGTCCTGGACCTGGTGGCTGGCTGTCTCATTTTCCCTCCATCTCTTTCTCTCTGTGTCTCTCTCTGGTCAAATTAAAATAAATGAATGAATAAATAAAATTAAATAAATAATTCTTAAAAAAAAATACTTGGGAGAAAATATGGGACCAGCAGATGGCATAATGGTTATGATGCCGGACTCCCATGTATCAACCCCAGTTTGAGTCCTAGACCCGGTGGCTTAAAACTCACACTGGGGGCAACCAGCAGTTAGTGTAATGGCTATGTCGCTGGACTCCCATGTAGTTGACCACGGTTCGCGTCCCGGACCCGGTGGCTTAAAACTCACGCCGGGCGCGTGTGCATGCGTGCCCAATATCCCGAGAGGAGAATGGAGGAGAAGGGATTGCGGCGTGACCATTCCCCCTGGCCTGGGGGATGATTTCTCGCTCTCTGTCTCTATGTCTCTCTCTGTCTATCTGGCAAGAACACGTGCTGTAGTGAAAACCTCTCAAAAACAAAAACAAAACAAAACAAAACAAAACAAAAACTCGCACTGGGCTTGTGTGCGTGCTTCCCCAAAATTCCAAAAGAGAGAGAGAGAGGGGTTGGCAGGTGGCGTAGTGGTTAAGGGTGCTAGACTCCCACATGGCCAACCATGGTTTGAGTCCCAGTCCTGGTGGCCTGCTTTCTCACTTTCTCTCTCTCTTTCACTTTGTCCTTCTCTGGTCAAATTTAAATAAATGAAGTTAAAAAAATTAATAAAACTTTAAAAAAGAGAGAGAGACTAGCAGATGGCATAATGGTTACATCATTGGACTCCCATGTAGTCAACCGTGGTTCAAGTCCTGAACTTGGCGACTTAAAACTCGCGCCAGGTGTGTGTGCCCAAAATCCTGAGAAGAGAATGGAGGAAAAAGGATTGTAGCATGGCCATCCCCCAGGGGGTGATTTCTCATTTTCTGTCTCTCTGTCTCTCCAGTGAGTGCCTGTGCCCTATAGCAAAAATCTCTCTCACAAAAGAAAAACATTCTCAGGACCAGCAGATGGCATAATGGTTACACTGCTGGACTCCTACGCAACCTCAGTTCAAGTCCTGGACTCAGTGGCTTCAAACTCACACCAGGCGCATGTGCATGCGTGCCCAAGATCCCAAGAGGAGAATGGAGGAGAAGGGATTGAGGCATGTCCATCCTCCCCAGGGGGTGATTTCTCGCTTTCTATCTCTCTGTCTCTCCAGTGAGTACATGTACGTTATAGCAAAAGTCTCTCTTAAAAAGAAAAAAAAGATTCTAAATTGAAAATGACACCGGCTACCTTCCCATGACGATCACTACAGAGCAATGTATATCCACCACTATTGTAGTAAGGGCCTGTGTTTGTTTGAGAAAACATCATTTCCCATTCCTGTGGGTTGAGGTAGTGTGGGGTAGTGGAAAAGCAAATATGCTAGAGTCAGTTCCAGCTTTGCCTCTTTGTGACCTTCGGTGACATCCTCTGTGCCCTCAGCACCTGAGTCCAGAGAAAACCCCTAGGGTTGCTGTGTTCATTAAATGAGGACACTGCCTAGGCAGTGACGGGGGAAGAAGAGGTAAGTTCCTGCCCTTTACTTCTACTGCTCTGACCAGGGACCTAGTCTTGAAGCAAGGCTGGCCAGAGGCCGATCAGTGAAGCGTGGAGTTCAGAAGACCCCAGATGTGCTAACGAGGGCCCGTGCGCACGCTGCCCCAGTAGCGAGGCCGAGGTTACCTGTACAGCATCAAAGCTGCAATCACCACCAACACCAGCAGGATGCTGAGGAGTCCGCCGATGGCATAGCTGACGTGGAGTCCTTCCCCTGGGGAGAACAGAGATGCTAGGCAGGGACTAGTCACACCCTGTCAGCTGGTGCTGGCGCGAGGGATGGGAAGAGGAGGGCTCCTTTATAGCTTTCAGCTCCTTTTAGCTTTTGGACCTCGGAGGAGGGCTAGGAGCGTCAGGGGAGAGACCACAGACGGTGGGGAGGAGGCCAAGAAGAAACCTATATGCCTGATCCCAATTCACCCCTTCTTAGCTCTGTGACTGAAGGCAAGATACCTCCTTCTACGTCTAAGTTTTCTCATTAGTGAAGTGTAATACGTGGCTCACAGAGCTGGCAGAGATTGAATGAGTGTGTGTACACACACGTACACACACGTACACATACACGCACACACGGCTTTATGTGGCTCATCAAACGCCTGGCACAGGAAAGCAAGTCCTAAGTGGTGTCTATATAATCTGATGATTATTTCCATGGACTTTACCGCAGACCAGGGCTCATCAACCCCAGGGTCTCCATGAGGTTGTAAATGGCATCAGTGGAGATTAGGTTCCCACATCTTCTCTGTCACTCAGGGCTTACCTGGGGCAGCAGGTACGGCCTCGTTAGAATGTGCGCAGAGGCCCAGCCGGGCATCCCTTTCAGAGCATCTGTGGGCACAGAAAACAGATGTGAAGGCTCCTCGTATGCGACGAAGATCTCGTGTTACCCCAGGGCCTGTGAGTGCATTTTCAGGTATGAGAACAGATCAGATGCAAACTTAGACACATGGCAAAGGCAGGACCAGGAAAGAAATCTGTGAGTCACTGTTTTCAAGCCACTATTCTGTGTTGAAATGCATTTTAAAATAGGGACCTTTAACATTGAGAGGCAGATTTGGGAAGGGGCTAAAAGCCTGCAAGAATACTAAGGACATCAACCATCGGCTTTCTAGTCGGGCCACAATGGTGCAAGCTGGAAGGCACTGCTGTGCGGTGGCTGAAACTGCATGAGAGGCCTGGGTTCGGTTCCTGGTCCAACCTAAACAGGCCAAGCATGGTGGTATGTGCTGGTAGTTCGAGCTAGCTGGGAGACTGGAGAAGAATAAATGCCACCTAGCAAGACCCTGTAAGGAACACCTTATTTGGGCTGGCCCCGTAGCCTAGTGGTTAAGTGAGCTGGATCCTATATGGTCATCCACGGTTCAAATCCCAGTCTAGCAGCTTGGAAATCATGCCGGGAGTATGTGCATAAATATCCCAAATCCCAAGAAGATGGAGAAATGGAGGAGAAGGGATTGTGGCCTGACCATGCCCCACTGGGTGGTGCCTTCTCCCTCTCTCTCTGGTGAGCACACTTGCCTACGGGCAATTAAAAAGAAAAATCTCAGAGCCAGCAGGTGACATGGAAGTTAAGGTGGCTGGACCTCACATAGTCAGCGGGGTGGTTTGAATCCATCGCCAGCAGCTTGAAAAACACGCGGGGCATGGGTGCATGTGTGCCTAAAATCCAGAGGTGAGAATAGAAGAGAAGGGATTGTGGCATGGCCATCGCCCCTGGGGACGTGATTTCTCACAGTTCTTTTCTCTCTCTCTCTCTATCTTCAGTGAACACACTGTCCTATACCAAAAAATGAAAAAAAAGATAATCCATCTAGCCAGCTCCTTCTCTGCTGTCCTGTACCTTCTGGGTCCAGCTTCACCTCTGTAAAGCTCCCCCAACTAGGCCCCACAGCCCCCGGAGCCCAATGCTAGCCAGATTTTCTGCTGAGATTTCTTACTCCAGATTAATTTCTAGTGGAAAGTCACAAACCCAGGCCAAGCCCATCCTGAGGTGGATACGGAACTTCAGCTGTGAAATTTGATTTCCTTGACCAAAAATGAAGATTTTCTGCTGAGACTTCTTACTCCAGATTCATTTCTAGTGTCTCTATGCTCTAAGTGTCTAGACAGGTCCAAGTGAACAGCTTCCAAATATCTGAATACGATTAGGGTCAGAATATTCCTCTCACTGAATCTGATGCACAAAGAGTGAAAATGGAATGGGAGAGAGATTGCAGAGCACATCCTTCTGCACGCCTCTGAACACTCAGATTAAACTTCAAGAATTAGGAAGAAACTGGGACCAGCAGATGGCCTAATGGCTATGACGCTGGACTCCCATGTAGTTGACTGTGGTTCAAGTCCCAGACCTGGCAGTTTAAACTCAGGCTGGGCGTGTGTCTGTGCGTACCCAAGATCCCGAGAGGAGAATGGAGGAGAAGGGATTGTGGCGTGGCCATCCCCCTGGGGGTGATTTCTAGCTTTCTATCTCTCTGTCTCTCTCTGTCTTTCTGGAGAGTACACGTGCCCTATAGCAAAAACACGTCAAAAGAAAAAATACGTATGATTAAACCACTATGCAGTATATTCTGGATGGGAAATCATATTTTGTCTGCTGTGACAATGCTCAGGGAATGGATGTAAATTAATCAATTTAAAAAAAAGTTTCAGAAGAAAATTACAGTGCACTTGCCACTAGATTCTAGCTTTGTCCATATTTTTAGTTTAAGGTATTTGTGAATCAATAAAATGTGGAAAAAAATAAAAGAAAAAAAATAAAAAGAAAAATAATTCTCTCTCTCTCCTTCCTGTGTACATGCTCATGGGTTCTCATGAACTAACTTTCTCTCTCATGAGAATAATATAATTCTATGTATATATTATATATAACAATAATAACAGGCTGAAGCCCTTGGCCCAGCCTCAGTGATACAGGTGGTAGTGTGCTATTCTGCAGTGCTGGAAGCCACATGGCTGACTGTAGGCTAGATCTTTGGAGGTCTTGAAACACACCAAATATGTATGCAGCTGCCCAAGATCCTTAGGAAGTAGAGAGATGGACGAAGGGGACTGTGGCCTAAGACCTTATTGAGGGTAACTGTCTCTCTCTCTCTCTCTCTTGAATACGTAGAGGGAAAAAAAGGAAAAAAGGTAAAAGTCTTCCTTTTTAAAATTATTTATTTATTTTTAAGGTTTTTGCCTTAGGGTACCTGCACTGGCTTGAAAGAGACAGAGAGAAAGAAAGTGAGAAGCCACCTCCTAAGGGCAATGGCCATGAAACAATCCCACCTCCTCCATTCTCCTTTCAGGATTTTGGGCGCACCTGCACACACGCCCAGCATGATTTTCAAGCCACTTTGAACTATGGTCAGTCATGAGGGATCCCAGCTTCCCAACCATCATACCACCTGCTAGCCTCAAAAAAAAGGCTTTCTTAAACTTTTTTTTTGAGAGGTTTTTTGCTATAGGGCGCATGTGCTCGCCAGACAGACAGACAGAGACAGAGAGACAGAAAGCGAGAAATCACCCTCTGGGGGGGATGGCCACTCCGTTCTCCTCTCAGGATCTTGGACACGCATGCACACGTGCCCGGTGTGAGTTTTAAGCCACTGGGTCCTGGACTCAGACCGCGGTTGACTATGCTGACTACGTGGGAGTCCAGCGACATAGCCATTTTGCTAACTGCTGGTCCCTTCTTAAACTATTAAGATGAGTCAAAAGAAGCTGCTAGCTAAACAAATCTGACTGGATAAAGATTATTTCAAGGTTCAATGGTCACAATGTCAAAAACAATTGTTTTTGTTTCCTTCAGTCTTTCACAAGGGAATATGTAAAATATCCGGAGGGAATACTCAGGCCGTTAACTTGAAATGCAGGCATCTCCTAACAGGCTGTAGAAAGGTACTTGCAAGTGGATTTGAAACAAAAATGCATGGAATCTTCCCACAGAACTCTGACGGTAAGAAAAAGCCTGAGAAAGGTCCAAAAGTTTTCTACACAACCTAGAAAAATCCAGAAATACCGATTGGTAGTGCTTAAATGTTAGCCAGGAAGGCACAGGCTTGTACCCGGATAATTACTTTCTTTTACAAACTGTACTAACGAGAGAAAATGGGGCACACAATACATGAATTTGATGATATGAAAATCTTGTAACTTAGGGACATTGAGTCTAGACCTGTTCTTTAGGAATATTATTATGTTTCTGTCTATAGAATTAAAATCAAGTGTCAAGTATCTTTTAAATTATAGCTGGCATTGAAACTAAAGAGACCAGTACGTTGCGGCAGGGGAAAAACAAAATTAAAAACTATTCTAATTAGAAAAATGCATGTAAAGACATATCAAAATATCAAGGGTAATTTATATATATATGTGTGTGTGTGCGTGCGTGTGTGTGTGTATAGGTGCTCATGTCTTCTCTATTCCTATCTCTATTTCTACATTGTTTTATAATGTGTAAATGAAAAACACAGTGATGCGGCCAGCAGAGGGCGTAATGACTATGTCACTGGACTCCCACAGTTTGGACCAGTTGGCTTAAAACTCACACCGGGCGCATGTGCACGCATGCCCAAAATCTCAAGAGGAGAATGTGAGAAGAAGAGATTGCAGCGTGGCCCTCACCCCTGTGGGGTGATTTCTCACTTTCTGTCTCTCTTTCTCTCCAGCAAGCGCACAGGCCCTATAGCAAAAATCTCTCTTAAAAAAAGAAAAGAAAAGAAAACATAGTGATAAAGATTTCTCTAACTTGAATGTAACATCACATTTCATCAGTTAGGGAGGTGTGCATTTTTTTCTATATTCTGAGTCAATAACATCTCATGAGTGCTGTCAGTTAACTCTTTCAAACCAGGATGCATTTTTAAATTAATACCACCTTCAATTTATTAAAATACAATGTTTTTAAATAATTAGTCTATTTAACTTTATTATTTATTTATTTTTTTCATTTGACCAGAGAAGGACAGAGAGAGAGAAAGGGAAAGTGAGAAAGCAAGACACCAGGTTCAGGATTCAAACCATAGGCAGCCATGTGGGAGTCCAGCGCCCTTAACCACCACGCCACCTGCCGGCCCCTAAAATATAATATTTTACACTTAATTTGAGAACTATTCATGACCGTGCTTGCTAATTTAATAGTGGTGGGTACTGTAAGCTAAGGCTACCATACCCCAAGGAAACATTTTATTCCGAGTCATAAAGCCACAGTCTACAGACTACTATAGGATAAGACCATACAGGAGAGGACTTCAAGAAGTCCATGGAAGGGGCCAGCAAGTGGCATACTGGGAAGGTGCAGGACTCCCAAATGGCCGAATGTGGTTTGGATCCAAACCTGGCAGCTTGAAAATCATGCCGGGCACAAGCACGTGCATGCCCAAAATCCCAGGAGGAGGATGAAAGAAAAGGGACTGTGGCATGGCCACTCCCCTGAGGAGTGACTTCTCACTTTCCTTCTCTCTGTCTCTCTCTGGTGAGCACACATGCCCTATGGCAAAAACCTAAATGGGGGGGAGGGGGCAGCAGGTGGCGTGGCAGGTAAAGGCGCTGGATTCCCACACGGCCGACCCCGGTTTGAGTCCTGGACCTAGCAGCTAGCTTCCTCACTTTCCCTTTCTCTCTTTCTCTCTCTGGTCAAATTAAAGTGTGAGTATGAGTCTCAAATTAGAGTGTGAGTCTATTAGGGTATAAAAATATTTTTTTTTTTGAAATCCATGCATAGTTTTATTTTTATACTCTGCATTTCCATGAACTTTTTGAAGACCCTCCATACATACAATGCCTGTGATGTGAGAGCACAAGTCATAGAGAGAGGGGAGGGAAGTGTGCCATGTGGAAGACTTCCCGAGTGCTTTCTCTTTAAAGCTGTTCTGAAGGCTTCTTGCCCTCAGAGCTAAAAAGGGAATCACTTGCAATAAGCTACAAGTCTGAATATCACCTTCTGTCCCAGATAGCACAGCCTGGTGGCAAATGATGTGACCCACCTGCTTCCTGCTACAATGATAAGGCTGGCACTCTGGTCTTCTGCTGTGGGGGATGGTGACTTGAATCAAAGAGCCCTCGATCCTGTACTGAACCTACTTACCTGCCTTCCGCCTCCTCCAGAGATGCACGGGTCCGGGTGGTAGCAGAGTGCAAGGTGGTGGGCGGGGTGTTCGGTAGCACTGGGCTCTTCTCACTCATGCTGGTAGCCCTAGGAGCTGGGGGCACCAGGCCAGGTACTAGAAAGAAAGAAGAGTGGAGTGGATGACTGGAGCCCAAAACGTCTTCGTGTGGTCTGAGAATGGCAGCTAGAGAATTTGTCAAAGCAATCTTTTAGCTCCCCTAGTCCTAGGCACATTCATTAGAGGACCCTCCCCCTTTTCTTAAAGGTTTTTGTCTTAGGACATGTGCACTTGCCAGAGAGAGTGAGAGAAAGACAATGAGAGAGAAAGCGAGAAATCTCCCCCTTGGGGATGGGGGATGGCCACGCTGCAATCCCTTCTGCTCCACTCTCCTGTGATTTTGGGCATGCACACACATGTACCTGCCATGACTTTCAAGCTGCTCGGTCGATCTGGGACTTGAACTGCAGTTGGCCACGTGGGAGCCCAGTGCCTTAACCATCATGCCACCTGCTGGCCCCAGAGCCCTTCTTTCTTTTTTTTTTTTTTTTTAAGAGGTTTTTGCCATAGGGTGTGTGTGCTTGCTAGAGACAGGGATGGACAATAAGAGGGAAAGTGAGAAATCACCCCATGGAGGGGGGGTGGCCATGCTGCAATCCCTTCTCCTCCATTCTTCTCCTGGGATCCTGTGCACATGCGTGCATGCACACACATGCATGCACACACGTGCACCTGGTGTGGTCTTCAAGACACTGGATCTGGGACTCAGGGATCTGGGAATCAGCAAACCTGAATTCTGTCCTAATAAAATGCCAGCATCCAGACCTACCCAGGTCTGAGCAATTCCAAAGCCCAAATGCATTGCCCCCAGTCACTCCATGACAAGAGTCTGTGATGGGGACACCAGAAGGACCAAGCTGAGGTTGCTGGCTCCCTGCCCCTCCTGCTGTCCAGGGACCACTTAGTGCAACTCACCAAGGGAGCAGGGCTGGCCATCAGGCTCGTCAGGACAGGCGCACACGAAGTCCAAGGCTCTGGCAAAGCAGAGGTGGGTGCAGCCACCATTGTTCACACCGCAGGCATTGGTTCCTGCAAACAACGCAGATGGGAGCCTAGTTGAGGAAGGAATCAGGTCTCCTGATTTGACACTTCTCAAAAGCGAGCAAGTCCAGAGTCACCCCAGTCCTACAGATAGCAGAGCAGGAAGGCTCTAACCATGAGGATGAAAAGGCCGAAGAGCTTACAATGTGAATCAAAAGGCTCTTTTGCAAATTGTCTTGCTCAGTAACAGTCTTTGGGGGTAACCAACTAACCCGCCGACAGGAAGGGGGCAGCCTCAGTACCCAGGAGCCCACCTGTCTGCCGCTGAGGGGAAACCACGATGATATCCATGAGTCCTTCCACATTCGCCAACACCGTCTCCTTGTTCCGGCCTGAGTACTTGTCAACGCGCTGGATTGACTTGGTCTGCCAGTCTGTCCAGTAGATCCACCTGTCCTGCTACTCAATAGAGAAACCCCAAGAGTGACTCTCCTCCAGCAGTCAGCCCCCAGGGCAGTCTCTGTGCCTCGGAGCGTGTGAATCCCCCCCCCCAGCTGAGCTCCTCGCTCTCTTATACGCCAGGTCAGCTTCTGCACAGCCTAATGGGACCCCGTCCAGGAGTCGCCCCACATCCACACAGAGTGCACCATTCTCTCCTCCGTGCTACTCTGTGCCTTGTAGTTACTTCCACCGACACTGTTTACACGTCTGTCTGTCCTACTAGATGAAATTCTGCAAGGACAAGAATGTGTTTCATTCTTTGAATTTCCAACACCTAACACTCAGTCTTCAGTCGGTTGGCTGAGTGGCAACTTCCTAGCAAACAGAAGTGAATTTGGAGATGATTCTTCTTTTTTAAAAGAATTATTTCATTATTTATTTTAATTTGACCAGAGAGGGACAGAGAGAGAGAGAGAGAGAGAAAGTGAGATAGCAAGCCTCCAGGTCTGGGATTCGAATCGCAGTTGGCCATGTGGGAGTCCAATGCCCTTAACCACCATGCCACCTGCCAGCCCTTGGAGATTCTTCTATGTCTCCATTCTTTTGGGCTCATTGCTCAGAGCCTGCCTAAATCCTCCGCTTCCATCTGTGGGCAGCTTCTTTCTAACACCATGATCGTGCTAGTCTCAACCATTGGTGGGAAGCGCAATGCAGGTGTTTCCCCGCCTGCCTTGGGGATAGTATCAGAAAGTCTAGGGAAAGTGTTAGGAGCTGAAAATCGCATTTGCTGTTCCTTATGGTTTCACATTTGGAACAAAATTAATGTGTATTTATATCTCATTAAGGAAAGCCAGATAAAATCTTTTTGGCTGATAGGATATAATATAGAATAGAGAAGGTGATAGATGGTGTTTGTCAAAAAGCGACAAAGATTTTTAAATGAATCCTCCTTTTGGCCTCAGGCTTGGCGAATCTTTTTCCTCCCCCAAATTCTTTTACAATGTCAGGACTCTCAAGAACGACTACTACTACTAACTACGAAGGCTGGAGATAACATATAGTCAGTGTCCAGTGCCAGCCAGTGTGCTAACGCCTGTGCCTAATTCAGGAGAATACTACTATGAAGCTAATTCATCTTACAACTAACTGAAGCTTCTTCAGAGCTAAGCAGTTACTTAATAGAACTTGAACCCCGGTGCCTGGCACACTGGAGATACTCAATAAACACTTCCTTGTTGCTGAATGACTCAGGACTCTGGCTTTCAGCCACTCCATCCTGTTGCCACTAAGTGAGCAGCCTCAGTTCAGATGTTGAGGGGATCTTGTCAAAATGCACATTCCTGGGCCCAGTCCTCATAAGGCAGGTTCCCTAGAGCCACGGCCCAGGAGCTGCCCTTTAACAAGCTCCACATCTAACTGTGCACCGCTGTCTGGGAGCCACTGTTGTGAATGCTAGCACATGGGAGTGGCAGGATGGGAGGACTGGGGCCCTTGGTAACAAGCCTTCAGTGTACACCCTAAAATGAGCCTTCACAGCATGCTCACTCAGGAGCAATGACAGCCCAGGCTGCTGACTTAAACCCCAAGAAACACCCCAGTCCAGAGGGTTTAGTTACCTCTCTCCTGAGCCAGTACCTGTGTGAGGGCAAAGGGGTGGGACACGTGGCTGACCAAGCCCTGCCGCAGCTTCCCATTCAGGTCAGCACTCTCAATCCGGTCCAGATGGGCATCTACCCAGTATATCCTGTGCAGAAAAGGAGAGAAGGCAGGTGGTCAAAGGGCTTGCCAGGGGGGCTGGCAGGTGGTGTGGTGGTTAAGGTGCTGGACTCCCACATAGCTGACCATGGTTCAAGTCCCGGACCTGGTAGCTTGCTTTCTCACTCTCCCTTTTTCTGTCTGTCTCTCTCTGGTCAAAATTGAATAATGATAATAAATATAATTAAAAATAAATAAATCTTTTTAAAAAAAGAATTTAAAAAATTTAAAAAGGTTTGCCAAGGAGCCCGGTTTTTTCGCCAAGGGGAGTGTGGTGTGGACATCCCCCGTGGGGGGTGATTTATTGCTTTCTGTCTCTCTGTCTCTCTCTGTCTTTCTGGCGAGTGCATGCACCATATTGCAAAAACCTCTAAAAAAAAAAAAAAAAAGAGAGAGCTAAAAAAAAAAAAAAAAAGAGAGAGAGAGAGAGAGAGAGAGAGAGAGAGATCCCTGTAAGTCCTAGCGCTGATGACGGAAATTGGTGATTCCTAAGTAGGAGGCCAGGGCTGTTATGGGGAGGGGTAGAAAGTCTAACCTCAGAGGAGCCACTGTCCTGCCTCATCTTTTTGTTTTTCTTTTTTAAGAGGTTTTTGCTATAGGGCATGTGCGCTCGCCAGAAAGAAAGAGAGACAGAAAGTGAGAAAGCATCCCCCAGGGGAATGGCCACGCCACAATCCCTTCTCCTCCATTCTCCTCTCGGGATCTTGGGCATGCACGTACACGTACCTGGTGTGAGTTTAAACCACTGGGTCCAGGATTCGAACTGCGGTTGACTACATTGGAGTTCAGCGACATAGCCATTATGCCAACTGCTAGCCCCCCACAGCCTCATCTTCAGTAACGTGATCACCCTTTGACTCCTACTCAAGACTCTAAGCCCACATACTTCTGAGTAGTCTTCAAGACGAGAACTCAGTCTCCATGAACCTCACTGAGGTTAAAACAAGAGGGTATCCTGCTACCTCTCCAGGAGACTTTCCTTCCTTCCCCTTCTTCTGGAGACAGGAGAACAGAATGCTTCAAAGCCTCCAACATTTTTTAACCTAGAACCAAAGTTGCAAATCCCAGGGACTCATGTTTATCAGGAAATATAAGAATCAGCCCTTCAATGAATTGAGGAATGGACTTATGGCTCACTCAAAGGACATGCCCTGCTAAAGATATTTTAATTGAAAGCACCATCCAAGGGGCCAGGAGATGGCATAGTGGTTACACTGCTGGACTCCCACACGGCTGACCACGGTTCAAGTCCCAGACCCAGTGGCTTGAAACTCACACCAGGCACATGTGCATGCGTGCCCAAGATCCTGGGAGGAGAATGGAGGAGAAGGGATGGCAGCATGGTCATCCCCCTGAGGTAATTTCTCACTTTCCCTCTGTCTGTCTGGCAAGCACACACACCTTAAGGCAGAAACCTTTCATAAATATTTAAATAAATAAATCATTTAAAAATCTTTTAAATTAAAAAAGCACCAGCCAAACAAATGCAGCCGAGGGCTACAGGCTGGACTTGGCCACCCTTGCTCTAAGACTGTAGGCCTCTCATCCTTCCCACTGCTGCCTCTTCCCCTCTTACCTCCTATCTTTTGATTTTCCTTACTTCAAGCTCATCCAAACACAACCACCCTCTCCTCTGCCCACCTGGTTTCCAGGAGGCTGCTTGGGACAGGGCTCCTACCTGCGGGTATCGTAGTCCAGGGTGAGGCCATTGGGCCAGCCCAGGTCCGTGTTGATGAGGACTTTCCGCTCGGAGCCATCCAGGTGTGCCCGTTCAATCTTGGCAATATGGCCCCAGTCCGTCCAGAAGAGGTACCTGAGACATGACAGGGCCATCATCACCAAGGCGTGGCAGATGGCAGGGACACGTGGATTCCATAGCGTGTGGGGACACTCCAAGGGCCTCTTCCCCCGGCCCTGCTTCCCCAGATCTCTTTTCACTGGCCATAAACGTACCCCTTCCTGGGGAAGACGGCAATGGCCCGGGGCTCGTCCAGGCTGTTGTTGACGAGCACTTTGCGGCAGGAACCGTCCAGTCTCGAAGCCTCAATGGTATTTCGGCCTGTGTCTGTCCAATATAGGTTCCTGGCCACCCAGTCCACTGCCAGCCCGTCGGTGGTCTTCAGCCCACGCCCAATCACAGTCTCCATGTTGCTGCCATTCAGGTCTGCTCGCCTTGGGGAGGGACGGGGTTGGATGAAGGACTCCTCTGAGCAGAGATAGCTTAAAACTCCTTTAATTGACGTGCCCATAACTGGACCCCCTGGACTGTGAGCTCCATAGGGGCGGAGTCCAAGCACTTATTAAGATGTTCGTCAGCGCTCAGTGCGACAGGAGCTCGGTAATGTAGTCACAGAACAAATGAATGAATTCTTAGGACAGAGCGTTTCCTGCCAACTGGGAACAGCAGGGGATCTGAGCCCGTATCTTGTCCAAGACAGGTTAGACATTCCCCACATATTTTTAGGAGGGGACGAGGACTGCTAGGTGGTAATTATAAGAAAGGCACATTGGTCAAAATGTACCTGTGCAGTTGTAGAGGCCCTCCACTGGGGGACACACCTGCAGGATGGGGAGCATGTCACAGTCACCTGGGGACTTCTCTAAACTGCACAGGTCCCCCTGTTCCCAGAACAAGATTCTAATACACCCCCCAGGGAAAGCAACGGAGAATACTCCCTGTTCCTCCACGCGAGAATCTCTGCCATGGTAAACTACTGACAGGTCTGCGTAGGGGCCAAACATTTAAAGAATATGGAACCATCAGAGGGTGTAATGGTTACGTCGCTGGACTCCCATGTAGTCAGTCATGGTTTGAGTCCCACACCCAGCTGCTTAAAAAATGCACATCGGGCACATGTGCATGCATGTCCAAAGTCCTCGGAAGAGAATGGAGAAGGGATTGTGGTATGGCCATCTCCTCTAGGGGGTGATTTCTCGCTTTCTGTCTCTCTGTCTCTCTGGCAAGCACACATGCCCTACAGCAAAAACTCTTAAAATATAAAATAAGGAGCTGGCATGTGGCATGGTGATTAAGGGTGCTGGACTCCCACAGGGGCGACTATGGTTCAAGTCCTGGACCTGGCAGCTTGCTTTCTCCTTTTCCCTCTCTCTCTCTATCTCTCCCTCTCTCTGTCCCTCTCTGGCCAAATTAAAAATAAGTAAATAAATAAAGTTAAATAAAATAATTCTTAAAAATAAAATAAACAACAATAAAAATTAGATTTTTAAATGTTAAAAACAACTTTTTAAACCACCATCAGCCTTGGCATTTGGCCAGGGCTCATTTACTGCGATATAGATACTAGCCACGTGGTCTACTCATCAATGAGTCCTAGAGGGTTTGTGGGCCTCCCTCGAGGCTCAGTGGTTGGTGTGGAAAGCTCCAGGTCCCCAGCCTGACTTTATCTGCTTTTTTGTTTGTTTTATACACTCGGCTTCCAAAGTGTCTTTAAACAAACAAATGAAACTGAAATTCTGTTCTGAGTGACAGCACTACAAAGTGAACAAGTCAGGATTAGAACCCACTACCCCAACTGTCAAATCACTCAGTTCATTTAGAGCTGGACACTGAACATAACCATGCCTATGAACTCGGGGGGTTTGAGCGTTGCTCATACCGAATAACATCCAGGAACACATCCGTGTAATAGACCTTCCCATCCACGCTGTCATAGTCCAGAGAGATGACATTGTTGAGCTCAGGAACAGGGACGTGCACATCGGTGTGGTCGCTGGTATCGAGTGAGATGCGCCGGATGGAGCCCCGGCTGGAGAAGAGCAGGTAGGTCTCAGGAGAGGGGTCACAGGTCCTCCCGTCACCCTTCAGCTGGATGCCAGTGGGGCAGGCACAGGAGAAACCAGAAGGCCGAGGCAAGCAGAGGTGGGAGCACCCACCGTTCCTCGAGCCGCACTTGTTAAGACCTGGTGAGGAGAGAGAGAAGCACACACTTCACACCCCGCCTGGAATACCATCGGGATCCTACGGAGGGCCTCGCTTCTCGTGGCTGACTCTTGCTGTTCTAAGGGATGGGGTTCAGTGCCTGCAGGGTGAGGTACAGGAGTGTCCCCAGGAGTTCTTTGAAGGTGACTGCACCAAGCAGTTGTAGCACCTGCCATACCCACAGGGGACACGCCTATTCCTAGGGGGCTTAGGTAGGTCGCCGACTCTGACTGTAAGGGAGCTTTGTGTCTGCATCGGTCTGCTGTCTGGATAGTCCAGAAAGCCAGAGGCTCTGCCCCCAGCCCCAGGGTCTTCTCACCCAGTGGCTGTGCACGGTCCACAGCCTGGATGTCCATGAGGCCCGGCAGGTTGGACCTCACCAGGATGACATTGCTGCCGGTACCCTTGTCAGCGCGGTGGATGCTACGGGTCTGCCAGTCCGTCCAGTAGATGTAGGAGTCGAGCAGGGTGAGGCCGTATGGGTGCTGCACCGGTGACACCAACGTGTGCCGGTTGGCACCATTCAGGTCAGCCGCCTCTATCCGCTGCAGAGGAAGGAGAGGATGGGGTGGCCCCCAGGGGACCGGGAGCTCTAAGTGGAGGTCCTTTTATATTTAAGAGAGTTTTGCCACAGGGCGTGTGCACTCGCTGGAGAGACGGAGTGAGACAGAGAGACGGCAAACAAGAAATCACGCCCCGGGGGGATGGCCACTCTACAATCCCTTCCCCTCCATTCTCCTCTTGGGATCTTGGGCATGCATGCACATGTGCCCAGTGTGAGTTTCAAACCACTGGGTCCGGGATTTGAACCTCTATCAGCCATGTGCGAGTCCAGCATCTCAACCACTACGCTATCTGCTGCTGGCCCCCTAAGTGAAGATCTTGTTCAGGCCTCCCATCTCTCTAGGCTGCTGGAAGGAGCAGGGGCAAGGCTCTCACCTCAGTGTGGGCGTCGGCCCAGAGCAGCTGGGAGCTGGCCTTGTCCACGGTCAGTCCGTTGGGCCAACCCAGGTTGTTGTTGATGAGCACGGTGCGGTCTGAGCCATCCATGCCGGACCGCTCTAACTTGGCATTCTCCCCCCAGTCCGTCCAGTACATGAACCTGGGCCAGGAAAGATACCTGCTGGTTACCTGACATGACCGAGCACGGGTCATCCCAGAACGCCACACGGACGGTGAGTACTTATGTGCTAGACATTTGCAGAGTACTTCATGTGAATTGTCTCGGTTAATCCTCGGAAGGGGCACGAGGTATCCATTTTCATTATTATCTGCATGTTATAGGTGAGGACACTGAGGGCCAGAGAGGTCAAATCCTGGGCCCGAAATAATGCAGCTAATACATAATGAAAGAATTTGGAATCCTGGTCTCCTACCTACAAGGCTCATTTTTTTTCTTTAAAATAGTTTATTCATTCCTTTCTTCCATGACAGAGAAAGAGAGAGAAAGAGAGAGAGAAACAGGCATCCTGGGGCCAGCAGGTGGCCTGGTGGTTAAGCTGCTGAACTCGCACCTGGCCGACTGCAGTTCGAGTCCCGGACTTTGCAGCTTGAACATCACATCATCACATCACGCATGTGTACCTGCGTGCCCAGAATCCCAGGAGGAAATGGAGGAGAAGGGACTGCAGCATGGCCATCCTCTCTGTGGGGTGATTTCTCATTTTACCTCTCACTGTCTCTCTGTCTGTCTCTCTCCAGTGAGCACATGAGCCCTATGGCAAAACCTTAATTAAAAAAAAAAAAAGAAGAAGAAGAAAAGATTGGACCAGTAGGTGGCGTGGTGGTTAAGGTGCTGGACATTCCCACATGGCCGACCATGGTTCAAGTCCTGAATCTGGTGGCTTGCTTTCTCACTTTCTCTCTCTGGTTAAAATAAAATAAGTAAATGAATAATAAAATTAAAAATAAATAATTCTTAAAAAAAAAAAAGAAGAAAAGAAAGAAAGGAAAACTGGCATCCCTAACAGGGTCTTCACACCCGGATCCACCCCCGCTTCAGCCCACCCAGATCAAGGGCACACAGATGCACGCCTGACGTGCACAGAGAGGGTCCAGTTGTGTCACTGTTGTGCCACCTCCTGCCCTCCCAAAGCTCATGCTTTGAACCTCTGCACTTCGCTGCCACCACGAAGGGTATCACAGAGACTGGAAGAGCCCAGGCAGTGCAGTGTGCAGCGAGCTCCAGGGCTCACGGTGCCCCTGTGCTGTGAGCTTGCCCTCCACTGCTGACCTTCATCCCACTCGTAGCCTCGGCTGAGCCAGCCCACCCTGCCAACAGAACAACAGCACCCGCTCTCACCCCATCTCATGGTACAGGACAATGGCCCGGGGACTGTCAAGGTTCTGCCACACCAACACTTTCCGCATGGACCCATCCAGGTTGCCCACTTCAATCCGGTTCGTTCCCGTGTCTGTCCAGTACACCTTCCGGCCAATGGCATCCACCGCGAGCCCATCTGTGGTCTGCAGCCCTGCAGGAGGTCAAACGAGCACACTGGCTCCTGCTTTAAAACAGACGGGCTATTTCCCCAGCTCTGCAGCCAGACAGGTGGTCCCCAGGCTGGGGGGGAGGCCCACCTGTGGTGATAATGTCCTCATGCTGCGACCCATCGAGACTGGCACGGCTGATCCTGTGCAGTGTGCTGTCAGACCAGTACACTTTCCCTGGAGAGGCAAAGCTTGATTCAGCCTAGACCCTCCCCTCCTGCGATGGGCCACACACAGCTGACTCATGCCCAGGTCAGAGGGCACTGTGGCCACCAGCATAAGAAATCCAGGGACATGTAGAAACAGCATAGCAGGATAGGAGCTGGAGAGAGGAAGGCCTCACACCATGCCCTTGTGACCCATGAGAAAGTGCTACAGCAGTGGGGACAGGGACTGTGCCAGAGGGAGTGCCTGGGCTGCTAGCAGGAGGTGTAGGTGTTAGGAAAGAGGGGACAGCACTTGCTAAGGGGCAGGTAGGAAGGGAGGCCCGCACAGACCTTCCTGGGGGTCCACTCCGATGGCAATGGTGTTCTTCATGGTAATGTTGACTGGTACCACCACATCCGCAAAATACGGGATGTCCAGGGAGACCATGCGTATATCTATCCTCCTGGCGAAGATGAGGAAACTGTTCATGCCTGCCCAGGTAGAGAGAAGGAGGAGGACGATCACTCTAGCCCAGCTGTCAAGAGGATGTAGAGTTGGGAAAACTGAAGCTCATGTCTTTGCCCTGCTAGTTTCTACGTTTGTGATCCTACACAAGTTATTCAAAGCGTTCAACTCAGTATTCTCATGGATAAAATGGGGGCAATAATAGGGTGGCTATTGGGATGGAAAGAGATCGTATACACAGAGCACCCAGCATTCGGTCTCACGTCTCTTCATAAATGATATCCTTTATTAATATCGCAGAAGTGGCTCTCTTTGAAGACCCCTTTACCATGAAGTTTAAGAAAAGACGTGAAGGGGCCAGCAGGTGGCGTGATGGTTGGGATGCTGGATTCTCACATGGCCAATTACACTTAGTCCCAGACCGGGCGGCTTCCTTTCTCACTCTGTCTCTCTCCGGTGAGCGCACAGCAAATAAATAATAATAAATAAAAACACAGAATTTTTTCTTAAAAAGAAAAGAAAGGGAGTAAAGGGACCCTTATAGGGCTCTTTTCTTTCTCAATTCACAGTCCATAGCTTCTCCTCGCTCCAATTCCTGGGGAGGTTAGAATTCATACACGGCAGGTGCCCGAGGGAAAGACCCTGGCTCCTAGCATCTGGCTGGCCAGGTCCTGCTTCTGGGACTGTCTGAAGAGGTTATCACAGAGGATGTGCATTCCCAAAAATGGCATGTGTCAGGGGAGGTGCCATTACTTTGTAGACTTCATACGTATTTATATTTATCATATTAATTTGGGCAGATGAAAGGAAAGTACCTTATTCTAACCAAGTTCATCTATCATAATAATTTTCCAACAAAGGAATGGAAAATTTTTTGAAAAACGATATTTTTTTTCTTCTAATAATCATAAAAATACAGAAAGAACTAGATGAACTTCACGTCCAATCACGTCTACCTGCTCCCGGGGCTTCTCCCCTGTTAGAAAAGCTCTGGGTCTCACCTCCATCCTCTAGAAACATCAGAACACACAGTTTCTTGGACCACACTGGAGCCCACTTGCGGGGAGAGAAGAGAGTCACTTCCCAAAAAGGCTCTACCCAGATCTGTGAGGCTTCGACTCACCTGGTGAACAAGTCTTGCCATCAGGCAACAGGTTAATGCCTGTGGGGCAGGTACAGCTGAAGCCACTCGGATTTGGGGACCGAAGACACAGGTGGCTGCAGCCACCATTCTCCACGGCACATGGTGTAGACACTGGGTAGGAAGGAGGAAGGTGGTCAGTGGACAGGGCTAGGCATCGGAAGGCATGGGGAAGGCCAAGGAGAAGCCCATACCAGCCTAGGGTTGCTCACCTGGGGGCCGCCGGCGATGGAAGACGTGGATGTCCATGAGGTTCTCCAGATTCTCCTGCAGGGTCTCCCGGTCCATCCCTGTCAGCCGGTCAGCACTCTGTATACTCTTGGTCTGCCAGTCCGTCCAGTAAATGCGCTCTCCATACAGGGTCAGCCCAAATGGATGGGGGAGCTGGCTTCCAATGAGCACCTGCCAAGGCCCCAGCACTGTGTCATCCCCAGCAAGGTCTGACCATACAGAGCAGCCGCCAAGAGCGTGGCATGGGGTTGGAATGCAGCTCTGTCACTGAGACCTACTGTGTGATCCTGAGCAAGAGCTAATTTTTTTTTTTTTTGAGAGGTTTTGCTATAGGGTGTGTGCGCTCACCAGAAAGAGAGACAGAGAAACAGAAAGCGAGAAATCCCCCCCCTGAGGGATGGCCATGCCGCAATCCCTTCTCCTCCATTCTCCTCTCAGGATCTTGGGTATGTGTGCACACATGCCTAGCATGAGTTTAAGCCACTGGGTCCAGGACTCAAACCATGGTTGATTACTTGGGAGTGCAGCGACATCGCCATTATGCCAACTGCTGGTCACAAGCAAGAGCTACTTATAAGACCTCTCCAAGCTCTGGTCTACTAACCTATGATATGATTGTGATAATATTTGGCCCCAAAGGCTGGGTGATGATTTCTTTTTAAACTGCTATTTATTTTTAAACTTTGTTTATTTATGTATTTATTGTTATTTTAAAAAATTTGATCAGAGAGGGACAGAGCAAGAGAGTGAAAGTAAGCAAGCAAGCTGCCAGGTCTGGGACTCAAACCACAGTCAGCCATGTGGGCATCCAGTGCCCTTAACCACCACGCCACCTGCTGGTCCCAGGTTGTATGATGATTTTTAAAATCATGTATTACTTAAATAATCTCAGAGTATCTCTGCACACATTACTTATTAATTACAAAAGGAAAATAGTTACTGTACAGAAGACAGCCCCTTAATCAAGCAAAGTTACATGCCACAAAAGTGCGACAAGTCAGCATCTTTGCCTGCTGAGGATATACACTCAGACCTCCGGCCTGGATTTCGCTTAACGTAGTATTCCCACCCAAATGCAGAATCAGTGCAATCCGAAGGAAATGCCAGGTAAGTCCAAATTGAGGGGTACCCTACAAAACAGCTGGCCTCAACTCTTGAAAAATGGAAAGGTCAAGAAAGACTTAGAAAGGCTGAACAAGTATCCCCAGTTAGAGATTAAAGAGACATGGGACCGGCAGGTGGCACGATGGTTAAGGACACTGGATTCCCACATGGTTGACTACGGTTTGAGTCCTGGACCTGGTGGCTTGCTTTCTCTCTCTCTCTCTCTCTCTGTCCCTCTCTGGTCAAATTTAAATAAATAAATAAATAAAGTTAAAAAGAAAATTGATTACTAAACACAATGAGTAATCTTAGGCTAAAGAGTTTTTTTTGCTTTTTCAGCAAGAAAAAATTGTTATCAAGGACTTTATTGGAGCAAGTGACAGTGAAACCGAGTGTGGACTGTGAGTTAGATGGTTGGCTATACTGTATCCATGTTAAATTTTCTGATTTTGGTCATTATACTGCAGCTAGATAAGACAATGTTCTGTTCTGTGGATATATGTACTGGGATATTTTAGAGTCAAGGGCAAGCCAATTTAATCACAAATTGCTCAGAAAAATAACGTGTTTGCGTGTGTGCGCGTGCGCAGAAGGTGATTGAGAACGGTAAACCAAACGTGGCAGCTCTTGACGTATTTGTTCTTTTTTGCTATCCTTGCAATTTTTCTGTGAGCTTGAAATTATACCACAGTAAACATTAACAAAAAGAACAGATTAAGGGGCCACCAGGTGGCATGGTGGTTGGGGCGCTGGACTCCCACATGGCTGACCACAGTTCAAATTTGGACCCAGTGGTTTGAAACCCAGGCCGGGCGGGTGTATGTGTGCCCAAAATTCCAGGAGAATGGAGGAGAAGGGACTGCAATGTGGCCACCCCAATCTGGGAATTGGAGGTGATTACTCACTTTCCCTCTCACTGTTTCTCCCTGTCTCTCCAGTGAGCACATGTGCCCTTTGGCAAAAACCTTTAAAAAAAGGAAAAAAAGAACAGATTGATCACGGGCCTAGTGTCCCACTGGTGAGGGAATAGTGTTTGGTGGTGGTTATTAGGAAAGCCTGTGCATTGATGGCCCAGCCCGCAATCCATACACATCCCTATTTCCTGTTCACCGTGAACCAGCAGCACCCCCAACCCCCGCGATCTCTGGAGAGAACCCTCAGCACCAAAGAGACAGCTGAGGTTGGGTTGCACTGTGCCACGCCCTCTCTCAGCAGCCAACCCAGCAGTGCAAGCCTGGAGGCCGGCGGGCTGAGGGAAGAGGCCTCAGCACTGCCCTTACCTTCCTCTTGCTGCCATCCAGCCCAGCGAACTCAATGGTCTTCATGCCGGCATCAGCCCAGTACAGGCGCTGGGACCCGTAGTCAATGGCTAATCCATTGGGCCAGGTCAGATTAGAAGAGATGATGACCTGGCGCCCCGAGGCGTCCATGCCAGCTCGTTCAATCTTGGGGCTTGCACCCCAGTCGGTCCAGTACATGTACCTGGGCAAAGGCAAAGGAGGTCTTACAAAGACTGCAGCTCATACCCAGTAGGCTGCAGGGTGCCTAAGGTTTCTGGGTTTCTACCTTTGGTAACTGCCCCGGTCTCTTGACCCAGGGCTTAGCCTAGTACAGGGCTCGGCCATTTCTGAAGGCCTTGTATGGTCTATCACTACCAAAGGTACCCCAGAGTCAATAAACGCAGAGCCCACAGCTCAAGGAACACTGCAAATAAGTCCAACTGGGGAATAATGAACGAAAGGAGGTGAGAATTAAGAACTGAAAAATGTCCTTAACTACTTATAGATGTGTTAAAGAATAATGGGGTGGGCCAACAGGTGGCATGGTGGTTAAGGTCCTGGACTCCCACATAGTCAACTGTGGTTCAAGTCCTAGTCCTGGCAACTTGCTTTCTCTCTCTCTTGCCGAATTAAAAAATAATGGTAATAGGGGCCAGTGGGTGGTGTGGTGGGTGAGGGTGCTGGACACCTCCCAGTGGGATGGCCGCATGACCAACTGCAGTTCAGATCCTGGACCTGGTGACTTGCTTTCTCACTTTCCCTCTGTTTCTCTGTGTGTCCCTCTGCTCAAATTGAAAGTATAATAATAATAAAGTTAAATAATTATTTAAAAAATAAAATACTGATAATAAATTAAATTAAATAAATAATTATTTCTTTAAAAAAGGAAAAAATAACGAGGGACCAGCTGGTGGTGAGGAGGCTAAGGTGCTAGATCCCACATGATTGACTCCAAAGTTTTTTTTGTTTGTTTTTTTAAAGAATTACTTATTTAGGGGCCAGCAGGGGGTGTGGTGGTTGAGGCCCTGGACTCCCACATGGCCAATCACGGTTCGAGTCTCAGTTTCTCACTTTTCATCTCTGCCTGGTCAAATTTTAAAATAATAAATAAAATTAAACAAGTAATTATTTTTTAAAAAGTGATACAAGGGGCCGGCAGTGGCGTAGGGGTTGAGGTGCTGGACTCCCATATTGTCTTTCTAGCAAGCACACGCGCCCTATAGCAAAAACCTCTCCAAAAAAAATAAATAAAAGATTTATTTATTGAACTTTATTCATTAATTCTTTTATTTTAATTTGACCAAAGAGAGACACACAGAGAGAAAGAGGAAAAGAGAGACAGCAAGCCACCAGGCCCAGGATTTGGTCCATGGTCAGCCATGTGGGAATGTCCAGCACCTTAACCACCAGGCCACCTGCTGGACCCTGACTCTGAAGTTCTAGCCTCTGAAAAACATGCCAGATGTGTGTTTGTGTGCCTGCCCAAAATTCCCAGAGAAGAATGGAGAAGGGATTTTGGCATGGCCACCCACTCCGTGGGGTGATTTCTCACTTTCCCTCACCCTCTGTCTCTCTCTAGCAAGCACACATGCCCTGTGGCAAGAAAAATCTAAAAAATAAAACAGTTATAGTAAATAAACTTAAAAAATACTGTAACAATTAAGAAAAAGGTCCATCTGTATGCTCAAGTGGCAAGGTCCATGATATAGAAGGTATATAAAACAGTGTATTTATTGTAAAACTGAGACTACCAGCACCAGTAAGTGTTTATGTGCACTCAAAAGAAAAATCTGAGAAAAATATCCTAAATTACTAACAATGGTTTCTGTTTGTTTTCGAGAGATTTTTGCCATAAGGCATGAGCGCTCACTAGAGAGACAGAGAGACAGGGGATGGCCACGCCGCAATTCCTTCTCCTCTATTCTTCTCTTAGGATCTTGGGCACACATGCGCACATGCCTGGTATGAGCTGTGGTTGGCTATTTGGGAGTCCAGCAATGTAACCATTATGCCATCTGCTGGTCACACTAACAATGATTTTCACTGGAGAGAGATTATAGGGAATTCCATTAAAAAAAAATCGGGGCTTGCAGGTGGAGTAATGGTTGGGGGTGCTGGACACTAACATGCCCAACTACGGTTCGAATCCCGAACCCGGTGGCTTGCTTTCTCACTTTCCCCCTCACTCTCACTCTGGTCAAATTAAAGTAAATAAATAAAAAGTTAAAATAAAATAATTCTTGGGGCCATCAGGTGGTGTGGTGGTGAAGGGCACTGGACTCCCACATGACTGACCACCGTTCAAGTCTTGGAACTCTTTCCTGCGCGCTCCTCTCTCTCTCTCTCTCTCTCTCTCTCTCTCTCTCTCTCTCATTCTGTCCCTCTCTCCTCAAATTAAAATAAAGAAATAAAGTTAAATAAATAAAAAAGAATTCTAAAAAATTTTTTAAAATAATAATAATTCTTTATTAAAAATCACAATGACTTATTTTTGGAAGTAGACCAAAAGATGAAAAGAAAGAATGAAAGAAAAATGTAAAAGGGTGGTCTGTTCAGAGAGGAGACAGGGTTGCCAGGACCCTCTGTGGTTCCTACACTTGCACAAGATCTGGCCACTCTCCTTAATCTCCAGACTCCCCACAGCTGCCCAGGCATGGGGGGAAGGGGAGTGGAGCTCCTTCCAAAGGGCAGTGCTCACCCGCCCATGGGCTCTACCACGATGTCCCGAGGACGATCAAGGTTCTCCCAGATGAGTACTGTCCTCATACTGCCGTCCGTGTTGGCTACTTCAATCCGGTCTGTGCCTACCAGAAGTAAAGACAGAAAGACACCAACGCTAGTGCTGCCCCTCACCCTCTCTCCCCAGGGCCAGCTCAGAGCTTGCACGCAGGAGATACTCGGTACATATGTTGTGGCAGACGCACAGTGCTATTTAGTGAGCTCAGCTGAGAAGACATTCAAGAAAGGATCAGTTCCTTTCTTGGAAGAGCAAGGCCTGCCAAACCTAAGCAAGAGACTCGGTCTGTCCTAAATCATTTAAGGCAGTGACTCTCAAACTTCAGTGTGTATAAGAATCAGGAGAGTGGGGGCCAGTGTATAAGGATCGGGAGGAGGGGGCTGGTGGATGGCGTGATGGTTAAAGGCACTGGATTCTCAAGTGGCTGACTGCAGTTCGAGTCCCGGATCGGGCGAGTTGCTTTCTCGCCTTCCCTTTCTCTCTCTCTCTGCCTCTCTCTGGTCAAATGAAAAAATAATGGGACCAGCAGGTAGCGTAATGGCTGTGTCGCTGAACTCCCATGCAGCCGACCGCGGTTCAAGTCTCAGACCCAATGGCTTAAACTCATGCCAGGCACATGTGCGTGTGTACCCAAGATCCCGAGAGGAGAATGGAGGAGAAGGAATTGCAGTGTGACCATCCCCCCCCCGGGGGGGGTGGTTTCTCGCTTTCTATCTCTGTCTCTTTCTGCCTTTCTGGCAAGCGCACATGTCCTATAGCAAAAACCTCTAAAAAATAATTTAAAAATAATAATAACAACAAATGGAATTAAATAAACAATTCTTTTGGAAAAAAAAAAAAAGAATCAGGTGGAGTGGAGGTTAAGGTGCTAGATCCTATGTGGGCAACTGTGTAGTTTGAGCCCTGGCACCGGCGGTTTGTCCATCACACTGGGTTCTTGTGTGTGCGTGCCCAAAATCCTGAGAGGAGAATGGAGGAGAAGGGATGGCAGCATGACCATCCCTTCTGGAGGACGACTTCTCACTGCCTCTACCTCTCTGTCTCTCTGGTGAGCACACACACTCTTTAGCAAAAATGAAACAAAAAGAATCAGTAGAGCTTGCTGAAATACAGACGACCGAACACAACCCCCAAAGACTCTCATTCTGTAAGTCTAGAGAGGGTCCGGCTTCTCAAACGCTGCCGCAGCAGGGACTGCACTTGGAGCAGCACCAGTTTATGGAATCGCCTTTGCCTCCCACACCCACCTGGCTAATAAATGCCCTTGAGAGAGAGAGACTTTGCTATCAACGTGTGCACTCACTGGAGAGACAGAGACAGAAAGTGAGGAATCACCCCCCAGGGGGGATGGGCACGCCGCAATCTCTTCTCCTCCAATTCTCCTCTCGGGATCTTGGGCACGCATGCACACGCGCCTGGTGTGAGGTTTAAGTTACTGGGTTCAGAACTCAAACTGCAGTTGGCTATGTGGGAGTCTAGTGACAGAGCCATTAGGCCATCTGCTGGCCCCGTAAATCCCTGTTATATCCCGACAATGATGGAAGGAAAACCACAGAGCACAGGTTCTCTATCTGAGGTGCCTTAAAACACTTCAAGCACTGAGCTGCCATGATGCAAGCTGCTCGCTTCAGCCCTGCGGCAGCCCCTCCCACTCTGCCCTACCAAGGGCTTCACGTCAAGACCGAAGCAGTCCAGGAGGGCACAGGGTCCCTTCTACCTGAACCCAGGGTTTTATTTATTTATCTTAAAAAATTATTTATTCAATTTGCCACAGGTCACATGTGCTCACCAGACGAGAGAGAGAGAGAGGTTGAGAGAAGGAAAGTGAGAAGGCAAGCCACCAAGTCTGGAACTCAAATCATAGTCGGCCACATAGGAGTCCGGGGCCTTAACCACCATGCCACCTGCTGGCCCCTAAAGCCAGCATTTTAAATAAGAGGACTTCTAGGGGCCACCAAATGGCATGGTGATTAAGGCGCTGGACTTCTATACAGCTGACAACAGTTCAAGTCCTGGATCTAGCGGCTTGCATTCTCATAACCCCCGCCCCGGTCAAATTAAAAATAATAATAGAGGGAGCAGCAGTTGGTGTAATGGCTATGTCGCTGGACTCCCATGTAGTTGACTGTGATTCGAGTCCTGGGCCCGGTGGCTTAAACTCACGCCAGGTGCGTGTGTGTGCGTGCCCAAGATCCCAAGAGGAGAATAGAGGACAAGGGATTGCAGTGTGGCCATCCCTCCTGGGGGGTAATTTCTCACTTTCTGTCTCTCTGTCTCTGTCTTTCTGGTGAGCACACTTGCCCCATAGCAAAAACCTCTCCAAAGAAAAAGAAAAGAAAAAAATAGGTAAATAAATCTTCTTTAAAAAAGAATAAAAGAAAGTAAATAAGTAAGGGCCCTCCAGGGACCAGGACACGGCTCCCTGTACGTACCTGCATCTGTCCAGTACAGCTTGTTGGTGACCCAGTCGATGGCCAGGCCTGCAGGGCTCTCCAGGCTGGTGCCCACCACCACCTGGGCAGCAAGCAAAGCGGCGTCACCGACCGTCCCCCTGGTCCTGGGGCCCAAGTGCCACCAGTTCTCAAGACTGGCGAAGGAGAGGGAAACCCTTTCCCTGGAGAGGGCGGACTCCGCCCCGCACGCTGCCCTCCCTGCGGGCCTGGCCCGCGCCAGGCCCTACCTCCTGTCCTGTTCCATCCCACTTGGCCCTGCTGATGGTGTCAGTGCTGACATCTGTCCAGTACACGTGGTCATCCCGGGAGTCCCAGTCAAGGGCCACAGCACTGCGCACGTCAGCCAGTGGGATGACATCGTCGGACAGGTCCTCGGTGTCGAAGCTGATCCGACGGATGTCCATCCTTCGGGCAAAAAGCAGGAACTTGTCAAGACCTGATCAAAGGCCGAAAGGGGTCTTCTTTTAATGCTCTAAATCCAGGAACAGTGACAGACGCAGATGCTCATCTGTGTGGCATCTGGTTCAATCGCACTTCCTGGGAGTGGGTGCCCTTAGCCTCCTGGTCTCATACGAGACCCACTTCAAGCCCTGGGCACCCCAGGCGGCGGACGGACTTTACAATTCCCCAGGGCACAGAAATGCCTCGTGTCCAAGCATCCATCAGATGCGTCTCAATTTCTCTCTCCTCTTACTTTACTCCTTCTCCCCCATGTCCTGGCTTCTCTGATTCCAGGTCTGCTTCAGGCTTCTGCCACCCCAGCCCCCCATCCAACCCCATCCTCTGCCCAGATCACGACTCAAGCTAATGACAGCCATGCAGCACCTCCTCCCTGCCAGCACCGTGTGCGCTTTCTGCCTCTCACTACTCTGGGGTGTAGGCGAGTCACTCCTGCTCTCTAGGTGAGCACCCCTGAGGTGCCAGAGATCAAGTAAACTGGCCCAAGATCCTCAGGCATTAAAGCACCAGAGCTGAGACTCAGTCCACCTCCAGGGACAGAGCTTTGGCTGTTCCCCTACACAGCTTTTTTTTTTTTTTTTTTTTTGCTATTGGGCTTATGTGCTGTCCGGGGAGACAAAGTGAGAAATCACCCCCTAGGGGGATGGTCTCACTGCAATCCCTTCTCCATTCTCCTCTTGGGATTTTGGGCACCTGTACACATGCACCCAGTGTGATTTTCAAGCCGCTGGGTCTGTTACTCGAACCGTGGTCAGCCACGTGGGAGTCCAGTGCCTTAACTACTACGCCACCTGCCGGCCCCCTGCACAGCTTCTTTCCAGCTGGTGCTTCTCCCTCCTCTCTCTGCCGCTGCTCTGGCCTGTCTGAACACTGCCCAGTATACCATTCTGCCCGGAAAGGCACTTCCTGCCTGATGTGACTATCTGCTTCCAAGCTCTGGGAAACCCTAAGGGGGGCAGTTCCTGGGGACACGTCTTACATCTCACCAAGACACCAGGGGAAGAGCCAGACAGAAAGGACTACAAGGGCAAACCTTGGAGCGTGAAACTAAGTCAGAGTGAAGTCTGAGTTTTCTCCTAATTGCACTCTCTGGGAAGGACTCAGATCCCAAGAGAATTTGATTTTAACTTGCCGTAAGAGGGTCCCCGGTGTACACAGCAATACGTAAGGAGAGCTGCTGGTGTGTGAGGAATTATCCAGGCCCCTGTGGGTCACGTCCCAAGCCTGTGTCACCCCTCTCTGGACTATTAGAAAAAGACACCAGCGGCACTGAGCACTCAGGGCTACCCTCTCAAAGCAAAAACCCCCTGCTGGAGCTCAACGGAGGCCAAAGTAACCTTTCAGGAAGAGACCGAGGAGCCCCATCATCCATCACTCACTAGACATGTACTGTCCCAGGCCTGCACACACAGCATCACCAGGGAGCTGACTCTGGGCTCCCGGGCTTAAAGGCGGAAAGGAAATCCTCGGCAGAGCGAAGTAAAAGGTAAAGAGGTAGGAAATCATTCTCTCGCCTTCTGGAAAAGCCGGAGGCCGGTGGCCAGCAGGTGATGTGGTGGTTAAGGGCACTGGACTCCCACATGGCCAACCATGGTTCGAGTTCTGGACCTGGCGGCTTGCTTCCTCACTTTCTCCCCTTCTGTCCTTCTCTCTCTCCCTCTCACTTGCTCTCGTTCTCACTCTGTCCCTCTCTGGTCAAATTAAAATGAATAAAGTTTTAAAAAGAGAAAAGCCTGAGGCCCTCTGCTGCCTACAGATAAGACATCCTACCTGGCAAATGAACACACAAGCCTCCTTGCAAGTGTCCTTACTCGGCGGGGTGGTGTCACCCAACCTTCAGCAATGACTGCTGGGCCCTCAGCCCTCAGCTTTGAAGTAGGATCCCTCAGCCTCTTGAAAGGGCTCCTGAGGAGTCTGGCTCTTCCCCACCTCAGGCAATCCCTCTGGTTCTCAGCCTTGTGCCTTCCACCCACCCACACTCAGCCCAGGGTCCCAGACCCACTTACTCTGCGCACAGGCGAGGCTGCTGATCTTGCGGAAGCCGGTGGGGCAGGCACAGGTGTAGTTCTGGCCACTGGGCAGACACAGGTGGGTGCAGCCTCCATTGTTGTCCCCACAGCGGTTTTTCCCTGCTCAAAGAACCCAGAGCAAGAGGGTCAGGTAAGACTAAAAGTTTGCAAAGGTGTCCCCACCGGGAACCAGCAGTTAGCGTAATGGCTATGTTGCTGGACTCCCATGTAGTCGACCGCGGTTCGTGTCCCGGACCCGGTGGCTTAAAACTCACGCCGGGTGCGTGTGCATGCGTGCCCAAGATCCCGAGAGGAGAATGGAGGAGAAGGGATTGCGG